TAATGATTCTTTGAAGAGGGTGAGCAATCAATAACTCGTCCTAAAGCTCATTTAATACACTCATGGATTTAATTGGAAGGTTAAAGAGAAAACATTTATCCAGGGAAATGATATCAGTTTCTGTATTACACTCGGGTTTAGATAAATTTTATTATTGGTCTGGGGACAAAGTGGAAAATGAAAATTTATTTTGAGAGATAGAACTTTTCAGAAAACGCTTAGTATTACAGTAGTGTCAAAGTCATTCCCACACATGATCAATACATCCTGGTTCAGGTCATTCAAATGTAGCGGTAGCATTCAACCACTAGATTATGCTTTTTACGAATGATACAAGCTATGATTTTGTTTGCATTGTATGTGTTTCCAAACTAAACTAACTAAAATGAACATTCGTATTGAATTTTATTATATTATTAATTTATTAATACATTATAATATTCATTTAATGTATTAAAGGAGTAATAGAATATAATTAAATTATTTTTTGTGATTAAGCTATCCCGTTTGTGCATTTATGCAAAATGTATTTAGGCCCTGTTTACACTAGTGCGTTTTCGCTTTAAAACGGCGTTTTAAAATGAAAATGATCCTCGTCTACACTGACGTTTTCACTGCATTTTGGAAACGATCTCAGACTACACTACACAACCGAAAACGCATGTCACATGACCATTCATGCAGGTACAACCATAGATATGTATAGGTAGATTCCCTATTATTTAGATGGCGTCTGCGTGCTTGGGGCGGTCGAATGGGGAATCTACCTATACATATCTATGGGTACAACTATGAGCATGACGTTACTGTTTACATGGTCATCAAGGATACGCAGAGCGAATGTGGGCAGCCATGCCATCGTTTTCAAAAGTCTCCGTTTTGGTTCGTTTCCACTGAAACGCAACCCCCGCAGTTTTCAAACTAAAACGGGGGCTGCAGCATTTTCAAAAGACTCAGTTTTCGAGGGTCGAAAACGCAGGAGTAGTGTAAATGACAGGTGTAACCATAGCAAAAGTTATGCGTTTTAAAACGAAAACACACTAGTGTAAACGTAGCCTTAGATGTTCTGGATTAGGGCTGTCACGATTCCTTGATTCAATTCAAGTACTCTAATACATACCTGCAAACTCCGGTGAAAAAGGTGACATGGTTCCAAATATAATCCTTGTACGGGGGTCTGGGGGCTTCCCCACCCCAGAAGAAATTTTTTGAGAATTTAACATAAATGAAGCATTCTGGTGCACTCTCACATCAGGTGCATCCCAAACCGCGTACTTATGCACTATTCTATGCTGTTTTGTAGTATAAATAATGCGAGTAGTGTGTTCACACTGAAAATTCCAAAAAGAAAAAGTACACTTTAAATACCCTGATGATGCACTTAAATAACCGGAAAATGAAGTGTGGAATGTTGAACACTTCATGCACTCAACTGTTGCAGCTTTAATTACGTCGTGGAGGGGTAGGGGCTATAAGACTCAGTTTATTAATGACAAAATAACCTATTATAATTCATACACTACATGGTTAAGTACATAGCGCATAAGTAAATCATGTACATAGTGTATAGTGCGTCATTTGGGATGCAGTTATAGTTTATTTTTGAGATGATCGGATGAAGAGATGATCGGTTCACAGTAAATGCTGCTCCACACGAACAGTTATCGTTTACATGTGGGGAGCGTCTCAAACTCCATCTCTGCATATTGTTGTGAGTTTGGGTTTATTATAAATGTTCATCTGGGATCAATGTGCACCATTCTATAATGTAAATCATTTATAAACCTACGCCAACACAGGAGAATACATCATTATCTTTCTCAAAATGCTAACTGTTCATCGCGACTTCAAAATAAAAGTTTAAACCCTCACTCTGAGTTTGCATGTTTTGAAGTCCACATGTTCTTATTCAAGAAATGCCAGTGGCTGTAGCATTTGTATCATAAAGAAATGGCCAAATATTAAAGATTAAGTGGACATTTGAATGAAAGGTTTAGTCAATATTAAACAAGGATTAGATCGCGCAATAAAGTGTAACGGTACATTCACACGGGACGTCGGCGTCGACGCTTCATGGAGGGCGTTTCTGAAGCTTGGTGTTGACGTGACCGTCATAGTGACAACAGCCAATCACATTAGTTTTCGGGTGTTGTATGAACGCGATTGGCTAGCGTCTGCACCAGGGTATTTGCATAAGGTGATCTGATTGGCTGACGCCTGCGTTGGCGCTTGAAAAGTTTTCAACTTCTGCCGCGAGCAATGGACCCAACGCGGCGTGATGGACCCACAATTAATTTCGGGAACGCTTGACGTCACTCCATTCAAAGTAAACGAGAGGCATTGACGCCGACGCCCCGTGTGAACGGGGCATCAAACAATCGTCAAGCCGTTGGCGCCCTCTGCATTTGATATAATACATAATGTACGTAAGCTATGATTATATTGTTTTATTACATTATGTTTTTAACTGTTTTTTTTTTCAATAAAACCATATGATTACTTGCTTTTGATATTTTATTTGAACCAATGATTACTGCCTCATTGCTATTATATATATGTATTTTAAGTCATTTTAAAGTCTAATGTTCGCTTGTGTCTGTTTTTATTACCACAAAAAATTATCCGATAACACGATTAATCGTCAGAAAAATCAACCGTTTACTCGATTACCTAGGGTGGCCATATGTGCCATTTATACGGGACACTTCCTGGCCAGGATTTTTTTATATTGCCTAAAACATCCAAAGTAGTTTGACCAATAACATGCATGTATTGTACATCGACCAATCATGGCGCGTGAGAAGGTAAGATCTACAGAGAACGATCAAAGCGATGCAAATACGCACACGTGTTGTGCCTATTTAATACTGTAAAGCTGCTTTGACACAATCTGTATTGTTAAAAGCGCTATATAAATAAAGGTGACTTGTTCGTTCATTCGACTTGAAGCGTCACTGCGCACCGATCATTGTATGGCACCAAAGTACTGCAAGAGTGATTCGAATGCATAAGATAATCGTTAGTGACAGCCCTGTTCTGCATTGTTCCTAGGGTGATTGTTTATTACCCTATAGTGAAGAGGCTCTCCTTCAACCTGCTGAAAAAAGTTAAAACCAGCCTAAGCTGGTCTCCCAGCCCAGTCAAGCAGGTTTTCAGCTGGTCTAGGTGGTCTCCAGTCTTAAGACTTAGAAAGTCTTAACTTTCTTAACTCCAGTCTTAACTTAAGAAAAGGGCCCAAAATCCCTCTAAAACTAAAATGCCCTAAAGCAATGGTGATGCATGCCTTAGCAAGCTAAAAACACATTAAAGAGACATTAGCATTGCACAGACAACAGGATAAGAATTAGACAGAACAACAGGAACTGGAGTGAAAGCAAACAAAGCTTGTAGAAAGTGCTGTTAAAAGGAAAGGTGAGAGTGGTCATGGGGATTCAGGCCCTGGTCAGTAAAACACTCACCTGGGAACAGGCACCCTGATGATGGTGCCCTCCACCTCAGGGTTGAGTCCCATGCTGCTGTCTTGTAAGGCACGGGTGACGGCTGCCATGGCCTGAGGACACATTGCACAAACACACACACATCAGAGCTAATGACAGCCAGCTGGGCTTGCGGTACCTGCTGCAAACCTTCACACACCCTTTGCATCTCTCCAGCCCTCATATCGCACTAGACCACCCCCTTCCAGATCAGTGGAGTACCCCAACCCTGGGCTCTTTGATCCAGGAGGAGCTGGGCAGCATCTCCCCATGATGGAGCTCCAGAGAGCGGGGCAGAGGGGTGGAGTGTGTGGTGTAGGAAGCGCCGTGGGGCGCTGTCAGCGCCTGATCCCATGGGACTGAGCTGAGAGGTTGCAGTGCAGGGCGATGACCCATCGTGACCCCGTTTCGGGGGTTTATGCCTTTTCACCTCATAACCTATTACAACTCCTGTGGCCAGACTAGCCTGAGATTACACTCTGAACTTGTGTGCAGGCAGTCTAGTGTGTATACATCATAGTGGATTTAGTCTGTTTGGACTGGAATACTAGTGCATACTGCACAGTATATACTGTATATGCCTATTATTACATAAAACAGCATGTGAAGTGGTATGCAACAACAAACGTTTAGCACAGTAGTGTGCTATAAAGTTCTCCCATTACCACATTGCATGTTTAATTCTGTGTGAAATATTTTGTTTTGCATACACACTGTATACACAAGTTTCAGGAGTGACAACCGGATTTAAACATGGGATTGAATCCCCTAAATTATCGTTTTGTGTTTGTACAGAACAGAACTGGCACCATGCCAGGTGTCTCACATGTTTGGTATCCAAAGGCTACTTTGCAGAGTGCGCTCCTAAAGGGTTGCCATGTCCACTTATTATAAGCGCATTGGGCTCGTTGTTTAGGCTCAGCTCATAAATTGATCTAGTTTATGGAGTTAATAATGTAGGCAGGCATGTCGCGATATTTTGCCATGTGGCTAATTTGATTTGATTTGGACTTAAGTAATTATGGGCTGCTTCTTATTTGTTGTTTTTTTTCTAAGACGATCTGGCAGCACTAATGAGTCAAAACATACCCTGTGATTTTATTGCCCCGCACGTATAGAACAGACACAACTCTGATACGTGTTTAAGTACATCATTACCAACTAGTTGTTGAGTTTGGTTCTGTACACACTGCATGGAATTGTGGGAAATGCGGTTGCCACTACCTGATTTTTTCAGGAATCAATTCGGTTGTAGATTGTGGTTGTCTGAAGTGTGTGTGTACAGAACAGGATTAAGCACTAAAATGTGAAATGACAACTGAATTTAGCTGCAGTGTGTATGCGGCCTCTGAATCAGACTCAGTAACTGCGAGTCATTTTTCAGTCCTGTTGAAGTTAATACATTTTATACTGCAGTAGTGAAAAAAAAAGTTAGTTTCATGCAATTTACATCAGTCTATTTAATAACTGGTTATTCATATGACAGTGTGTAAATAAAGATACATATTCACCACAGAATTTTGTTGTACGAATAAATAATGGAACTATAAAATTATAACTCATACAGTTAACGTTTTTCTTTACCAAACAAGAAGAAACAGGCAAAAAAGTATACACGCATGTGCTGTACACACATTCCTCCAATGTTAATATGCATTTCTTGTGAGGTCTGACTCACTTATAGGCATTGTGTGTGTGCGATTTCTCTCTGATCGTCATCCATCATTACTTCCTGGTGGTTCGTAATTTTACAGTAAAACCAGTATTGTTCTGGTTAGTAAGTGGAAAAAAAAAAAACCTGTAATCCTCTGTACTTGTGATTAAAAAGAGAAGAGGGTTCAAAGTCAACTTGAGAAACTGTGGGCTAAAAAAAAAACAAATTTTCTTAATGATTCTGGATACCACACTGGCACACGGAGAGTGAAAGCTAATGACTGCTGTCTGCACCACAACACAAAACAGCCCCTGGGGTTTCTCAACAAGGCTGCACCTTCTCTGGCCCTTTAATGAATGACTGGAAAACAACAGCCTCTTCTCAGAGAGTGTGTAATGGATTAGAACAATCATAAAGCTGTTAGCTTTTGGCCCGGGCCAGTCACCTCTGTGTTGTTTTTGCAGGCCTGTTAGGTAATGGTCAGTTTTTCCTGACACCCTAAACGGCCGCATATGGTATTACGGTCATCTGAGCATAAAAACTGACCCCTTAATACTGTGCAGAGTCTTTTTTAGTATTATGTTAATATAGAGGTGATGAATAGAAAGGCAAACCCATTTGCAAATGGTTAATTGTTAGATCAATAACATAACGTGCCACCCCAGCTGTTGTTAACACAAGGGAAAGTAACATTTGGTCATATTTCTGTATTCTTTACACGGCTCTCTGTTATGCTTGATTCTGATTGGACAGTTACGGCATTCAGGTGTTGAATGTTTTTGTATGACTTCTTATCTGTAAATTTCACTGCTGTCCATGGCAGCATATATAATATAATCAGGGATGCGCATAAGTTTTTCCATCTGGTTCTCATGAGAGCACCTGGAAATTTGGTTTGGTGCTCACACCGCATATAGTGTGGCCCATTAAATATTAATAAAATAATAAACAAAATAATAAAGTGTGACAATAGTATTATATTTTAAGATAAAAAGTTATTAAAAAATTGAAAAAGTATTAAATAAAAATACAATTATTTTATAGTACACATAAAATACAATGCTAATACTTATTTTCATTTTTTTTAATTTTTTTTTTATATTTTCATATAAATTTTTAGCATTTTCAAATCTAAAATCAGCAAGCTTTTATTTTGGCGGGTTGCTGGCAAGTAAGTATATGCTGCCAACTGAAGCGTTAAAGTGAATGAAATTTCATAGTTTTGCGGTGAAACCGGCAGCGCATAGTATAGATTTATGCTTCAGTCTGAATGTAAATCTTATGTAGCATTATAGTTAGTCGATATAAAACGGTGATTATGCATTAACAGCTGCCAACCATGTCGGTATGCAAATGAGTGGTCTGAATATATTTACCCAGCGCATTTTATATTTTGGTCGCACATGCACACCTGCACACCACTTATGTGCATCTATGAATGTAATAAAATACCATATAATATGTAATATAATAAATTAACACTGTAATATTATTGGAGTGTTACTGATCAACTGATATGTTAACAGAAGCTTCAAGCCAAAGCTTTAAGCCAAAGCTACAAGCAACCATTTATCACCTTCAGGGTGATGCAAAACCCCTGTGCTTTGGTTTTGATCATCCTATCAAGGTTTATTTTGCAATAATGACTGGCTGACTGTACATTATCCCTTACATACATGCAATCTTTGGCTTGAAGTCTCCCAGGATGGATGACGAAGGTAGATTGGTGGGTTTTAGAGCCACCAGGAAACCAGAGCCTTTGGTATTGAGTGGACATAGGCCAAGAAGTGAGAGCATTAATCTCATTAGGGTTATCTGAACATCAGGCAGAAAGAACTGATATATATCAATGGATAGAGTGTGGTGATGGGAGAAGGAGGAGAGGAAAAGCAGAAAGACACCGACTCATAATGTGTAGAGAGGCAGAAAGACACCGAAAAGAGAGAGAGATATCACACATTAACTCAGGTCTAAGTTCCAGAGGCCACTTTGCGGTCATTTCCTGGCCTGACAGCTAACCACAGAGTCTTGGCCTACGTTTCAATCGTTCTCCAAGAACAAAGGGCTTCCCCCAACAATCAATCAATTTCTCTGAAACCAGGCTGAAAAGAGTCCATCACACTCAGGTTTCAGTAGGAGAAACAGTGTTTTTGGTGTGTGCGCTTGACACCGCCCTTTGTCCCCAGTCTTACCTTACTTTATCCCACACTTCTAAAAGCCGGAGAACAGCTGAGACGCACTGCGCTGCACTTTGATCTTTCAGAACCTGCATGCGCCTTTTTGACCAAAGAAAACACTCAAGAACTTCAAATTCTCCATATATGCACCATTTTGCCACTCAGTTGAACAGTAACATCTAAGACGATCATACTTCAGCTTCTATCCAATCTCTAAGGGGTTGAACAGTGCATATGGGACTTTGCCAAAACCTCCATCTCAAATTGGGCCAGGATCCCACCTCAGATTGTATGTGTGCTACCTGCAAGCCTTCACATCTGCTAACGGTTCCATGAAACATATTGCTGTTTCCTCCACTAAAAAACATATTGCTGTTTCCTCCACTAAAAAACCTTGAAGTTTAACAGGGAAGCTATTAGCCAAATGGGCTCTTCCTGGTCACCTGTTGCCCTCTCCGTTTCAAAAACCTAAAGGTTAGTCAATATTCAGAAGCAACACGGGCTTGATTTTAGATTTACTTTCTTGCAGAAGAACCACCAATATGATGGCTGTTTGAGCCTTTTGTTGGAAACACCGAACCGATGAGGTGTTTGGAAAAATACAAATGTCTCTGTGAAGCAATGTCCTCTGACGGCAGATTTATCTGGAACAAGAGAAGGTATATTTGTGGAGATCCAAGCGCAAGCGGTCTATCCTATAGATGACAGACCGACAGGCCGTAATCCTCATGTTGTGTGCCCAGACACCGGGTCACCACATTAATCCTGTACTGCGCAACCTTGTTCCCTCGGCCAAGGTGATTCTCCTGTCCTTCATAATAAACTTGCTGCTTAACTAAATCCAGATGATTCCGTCATTTGCTTAAAAGAACGTCATTTAATTTTGCTATCTCACTGACCTTCCATATTCGCCTCAAGGAACCAAGCTGGATCAAGGAGCAGGGAGGGAAGGACTGGCTAGGTCAAGAGGTCAAAGGAAAGAGCATGGACTCCACATCCACAAGTCCCAAATGTCCAACTGTTGGGTCTTTTGGGATTGGGCTAGAGTGAACGGGGTTGGCCTGGATGTACTTCAGGAAGTAGGATCGCAAACAGGGTGACCCCACCTTTTGGATCAATGGTCACGGCCAGAACGTGCAAAGGTGGATCGTCGTGCATTGATCCTCATGGGAGGACGAGGCAACACAATACTCCTCTAGCCTTGTGTAACCTCAGTGACATTGATAATGTAGATCAGGGCTCTTAAAGTCCAGTCCTGGAGGGTCAACGACCTGTTACGTTTAGTTTTAACCCTAACCAAACACACCCGAACAAGCTAATAAAGGTGTGGTGAATTGCTTACAATTTACCGATAGGTGGGTTAAATTAAAGTCTACAGGACACTGGCCCCGAATCGAGCTTAAGAGCACTGATTTAGACAACGTGGCACACCAAGGTTGAAATCAGTGACACCAAACAGCACTGGATCTTGTGTCTTGTAATTGAATGTGATGCACAAGGTATATACAATAGTTGAGTATATATGAGAATGTGATCCTATATGAGAGAAGCTTTTCAGTGAATAAAGCTTCTTATGGCTTCAGAAGTCACATTTATTTCTGTGATTTCTTAATTCTCTGATTCAATTGTTTGTTCACTTTGTTACTCAAAAATCAAGGAAGGCTTAATGGAAATGTGGTATATTAAAACATTTAATTAAAACATAATAATTAAATATCATTCCTTTGTTAATTTAATGAAAACTGCTTTGATTACTTAACTAATTCATTGTTTCATTCATTAAGTAGTTTTTACAGCATTTTTGTCTTGCATTAAACATTCTGAATTCTCATTAAATCAATTAAATAAATATAAAAATATATTACATGTTACTAAATAGGCATAATTAGTCCAAATTAATTACGTAATTCCTCTGTTGTGTGCCTGTGTAGAATTATCAGTTCCAATTCCATCAGTTCCTCTTTCTGTCATTCTAATTCAAATTCTGTGAGGTCTTGCCAATTCCAGTTCAATGCTTTTAAGAGCTCTCCAAAAATAACTGAACACTGATAATACAGCTATTATAATAAACAGACATATTTATGAGTTAAATGTAGCTTGTAAAAATGTATTTCATTAGAATATTCCCATATCCCATTTTGAATGGCTTCCAATGGTCAAAAAGCAGCCAGATGGTGTAGTAACAACATTTACCAGTGGGGGCTAACTAGTCAAACCTTGACCCAAGCATCACAGTTACAGGTTAAAAAGCACAGGATTGCCTGTGTGTCAGTGTCTCGCAAGGTCCTGACCTGGTGATGTGCGAATGCTGAGGTTGCGGCTGAAGTCTTCTTTTAGAGTAGCCAGGACAGCAGCCATGTCTTCCTTCACCTCCTCCAGGCTGATAATATCCTCCACCAATGCCGCATTGATGTTCACTTTAGCTGTCTGCCCTTTTGCTTTTGCTAACATATAAAAAGCAACAAAGAAGAAAGAAACATTAATGTCTTCATCACTGATGGCTTCAAAAGAAGAGCTGGAGATCGAAATGAAAGACTGTGACCAGCATGCTGGCTGATTGTCTTAGCAATTACAAATGAAAGCAGGATTTGGAGGTCAGACGAGGAAAGAGGGAATTTCTCCTCCCTTCATATGGGCTCAAAGCCCACTTTAGTGAACCTAAACAACCACTGCTATGGAAAACAAACACAATATCACTCCTACCCCTATGCTGGACGTTCTTTGTTGTGGCTCTGTGAGGGATAAGTAGCCGCCGTGCTCCACTCACCTTTACTCTTTTTTGTGGCATAATGACGGACATAATTCGGTAGAAGCGCGGGACAGCTCGTGTGGGGCAGAGAGGGGACTCTTGAACTAGTCAACAGCGGGCTCCTCACAACGGAGGGCAGAAATCTGCACAGTACTGGTCGCAGGAGGTTAAGATGACTCAATGCCATGTCTGTGGTCACAATACAAAAAAATGGAGAGAAAATTATTTATGCAAGGATGATAAACTTTACATTAAATATAGATACTTCATAAGAAAGAGTAAAACACATTAGCCACAACACAATATTGCCACCAGGGGGCGTCTGTAAAATTTAAAAAAGTCCCGTACAGAGACAGACAAGCAAACCATTATCAGTTTCATCAAGAGTCAAACTGAACTCAAAAGCATAGCTGTACTTTCTGAAATAGCGTGATCGTCGTTTTAGTACAAATACAAGTGGATGACAAACGACAAATAAGAGTGTTCAAGATAAAGAAAAGGAACAATTTTTTAAACATCTTTAAAATGCATGTGCAAAGTTCGTAGAAATGAACTTACTGTATTTATGTTGGTTTTATATTAAAAAAAAGTTTTTAAAGGCATTTAACTTTAATGACTCGGTTGTAATTCCATTGTGAATATGTAATTTCACGGTCTAATTTTTATTTAATTATTAATTTCAGTATCTTATTGCAAAGGTCAAATTACTTAAATGATGTATTGACCTTGACAGACAGTTATGAGGGTCTGAGGGGGTCCTCTTTGTGATATCATTTAGTTGCACCACATCACTTTGATCTGGTGAAGAAAGAAAAAAAATATTGTTTATTTATATATTTGATTAATATTTATATCCCACAAAATATAAAAAAGAATTTTAATTAGGAAAATTAAAAAATAAAAGTATCATACAAAGGCTTTATTCAAGTTGCGTTAGATAATTGTTATTATAAAATATTCATTTTATAATTATTCAAATATTTGAATTAATTTAATATATAAAGGTAAAATATTATATGTTATATGTAACATAATCCATGCCATATAAAAAAAAACAATAATTAAAAATGTTTTTTCATCAAGAAGTTTTTATGGCATTTTAGCCATTTATGTTTTTATGATGTTGCTAGCATGTTCTGGGTGGTTTCTTCCTGGCTCAAGTCAAAAGAGTCCACCCCTGAGTTTCTATTATATTCTAGTCCCTTGATATGTCTCAGGACTTTTCTTCAATGTAAGTTTATACATTTTTCCACCTTGTTTATAGTCCGCCAGGTGAAAATTGTAAGTCTGATGGCTTAGAAAAGTAATAGCACAACTCCCCTGCAGCCGCACGATTTGATGTATCATTCATGTCCGTAGCACAAACAGTGCTGAGTTTAATACTCGGGGTTAGGGCAGTGCTCCTCAATCCTGGTCCTGGAGGTCCCCCAACACTGCACATTTGGGATGTCTCCTTAATCGAACACATCTGATTCAACTCATCAGCTCATTAGCGGAGACTCTGAGTCCTGCAATGTGTGTGTCACTGCCGCTTCATTTAGTAGCATAAATCTTCAAACGGTGGTTGTTTATCAGCGTGGACTGTAACAACAGCACTGTTCTGCAGGTGCTCTGGAACAAGCTCGCTCACGGGTTGCTTGCGCCTCTGTCATTGCTTCTTTGATTTTGTCTAGCGTGAGGTATCCCGCTAGTCAAAACACAGCCAGCCAGGATAGAGACTGAAACAAATTTTTGGCCGTGTGTTTTTACAGTTGCTGTGATAAAGATAACTTTGAGGCACGGGTCTAACAGCAGCCGCTGCAGCTTTTCCCCAAACACGCACAAGCTGCGATTTTTATCGGCCCTTGATGATGCTTGTTGCAGGTTCAATGGGAGCCGCAGCTGTTCTGGTTAGACGCAGATCAAAAAATGAAAAGCGTGACTCTTCTTGTCGTCCTTAGGAGATGGGAGTTGTCCGACACGGGTGTTTTGGTCCACGGGGTGTGGATGGAGAAGAGGTGATGGCAGTTTTTAGAGAGGCCGTCAAGCAGAAAAACTGTTGCACAGGTGGTCTGTGGGTTACAGTGCGCTGCCGTTTGATTTATACCGGTAGGAATGAGAGCGGTTGGCGTACCCTCATTGCGTGAGCTCACCTCATTAAAGAAATGTTTACAGTGTGAACTCTTAAAGTTCTTACTGTAAAAACTGAGACAGTGTTGCATATCGGTTTGGTTGCATTAATATAAACCAGTGGTTGGATTTCATGATGTTTAAACCACTGCTCACAATTCACATTGTGCAGTAACTGTATTTCAAAGCTTTTTAAAGGCATAACCCACCCAAAAAGAAATAGCATGTCATTATTTATTTACCCTCATTTATTCACCTTCATTTCATCTGTTGAACACATTAGAGGAGGTGTTTAGCAGAATGCTCCTGCTGCTCTTTTACAATGCAAGTGAATGATAAATAAGGGTTGTTGAGGGAATTGTTCACCCAAAAATGAAAGTTTGCTGAAAATGTATTCACCCTCAGGCCATCCAAGATGTATATGAGTTTGTTTCTTTATCAGATTTGGAGAAATGTAGCATTACATCACTTACAACAAATAATTCATCACCTTAGTATGGCAACCTATAACAACACCTTAACCAATGATATATGGATATTATGTTCTGAAACTAAAACAACAACACGTGCTCTCCTTTGCCTTCCATTTATTTATGCCCTGTGGCATTAATAACAATGTTTCCAAGCATTACCCAAGGAATAATTTAAAGGGACACGAATTTTCCATGTTTTTTTTTTCAGCACAGACAGGCTGTTCATTTGACCTCAAGTCAAGTCTGCATTAGCAAAACGCTTAAAAGTGAACATTTAAAGAACAGAAGCATGAGTTGGTGAAAAAGTGAAATAATTCATCACCTTAGTATGGCAACCTATAACAACACCTTAACCAATGATATATGGATATTATGTTCCATCGGCTCTGGATCGGCAACATTGACCCCAAAATCACAGAGTGAGTGTTTGCAGTAAGCCAGCGCTGCACTGCCTCCCAGGCAGACCTGCGGAGCTGCCCGGGTGATTGATTAGCCAAGTGTGTCTTTGTGCTGGAGAATGAGCAGATGACGACAAGGCGTGTTAAAGAGAGCCGCTCGGCCGTGGAGACCTGTTTTGCTGAGGGGCTGCCATCATTTCTCATTCACCTGGCGTGTTTACTTAGTGAACCTGTAGCGGCTGCTCAAGGTGGAGAGGGGGTGGCTGGGTGACACGGAAGGGAAGCGAGAGAGAAATAGCACACGTTGCTGGAGCGCCCCTGGAAAATGTACGGCTTGCCCGGGCTGGCGTCTAGACAGGCGTTTCCTTCCCTCTCGCTCCTCTGTTTTTCTTTAAATAACCTGCTTGAATGAAAACAGCCGTGATGCCCACAGGCTGGTGATTGGGAAGATTAATTAGTTCACATGCTGGGAGTGTTTGTAGTAGCGAGTTCCACTTCAGGGTCCTGCAGATCTCTCACACACACACAGACACACAGTGGTGGAGTCCTGCTATGTGAGGTCAGCGTTCACCCAAAGGCAACTTCTTCCTGGGGTTTCCAAGTAAGTGGATAATTGAGAGCGGTAATTGAGTTGGGACTCTTGGGAGGTGAAAAGGTACTTTAGGTACTGCTCTGTAGCAGTTTTTTGAAGAGATTTATGAAGAAACCAAGGAGATGAGGTAAAAGCTTTGAGGAATTGGATGGCCATGACCTTTTTCAACTATTAGGAATTTTGGTCTTGTTTACACCTATTAATATGCTCTTTTGGTCATCCAAACTCAAGTGGTCAGTAGTAGTCAACCGATATATATTGTTTTAAAGACTGATGCCAATGCCAATATCTTCTTGGAGAGCAGGATGATCAATGGGTGATATAAAGCAGATATATATGATTTTACACTATATAATTTAAATAACATACATGCATAACAATTGCTGCAATTAAATTTAGATTTATTTTACGTATTTACTAAATTTGAAATAATCAAAATAAATCAATATGAAAAAATAATTTGAACTTATCTTATATTATTAATTTTGCAAGTTAATTTTTGTAATAATTTTAATTTATAATTTTTTTTCACAAATATTTTTTTTTAAACATTAATAAAAATGTTGTAACCAAGTAATCTGTTAAGTTTGTGCACACTGGGAATCATGTTTTCTCAAATAAAGGCTAGGTAAACCTTATTGTGCATACAGTACGCACTGGATATAACACGGCATAGTTTGAAATCAAAAATATAAATATTTTCTTAGCGCTGTCAAAATAAAACCTTCTAAAAACGTTTTTTTTTTTCTTCCCATTTTTTGCCTTTTTATTGTGAAAGGACAGATCAGAATTGACAGGAAGTGAAGTGGGCGAGAGAAGGGGGACGGGATCGGGAAAGGTCCTCGAGTCGGGACTCGAACACGGGACGCCCGTAGCGCAATGGCGCTGTATGTCGGCACGCTGCCCACAAGGCTATCGGCGCCGACAGCTTCTAAAAACTTCAAAAAAATTATTATTTTTTTTTTATTTTGCACTGGGACTTTTTTTTGCATTTATTAAATTTAAAGGTAGGGTAGACGATTTTGGAGAGGCTAGCAATTAGCAAGCTAGCTTTAAAAGCATAAGATCCCACCCTCCCTGCAAATCACTCTCCAAAGCCACGCCTCCAAAACACGTGAACGCACACAGGCAGGACCGAGGGATATGATTGGACAAACATTTTATGGTCTTACGCCTTCCAAAGACGATACACAGTTGTGCTAATAAGTTTACATACCATACATTGCAGAATGTGCAAAGTGTTAATCATTGAAACAAAATAAGAGGGTTATTTGAAAAATATGTTATTTTTTATTAAGTACTGTCCTGAATAGGCTGTTTCACATAACAGATGTTTACATATACTCCACAAGACAAAATAATAACTGAATTTATAAAAATGACCCCACTCAAAAGTTTACATACCCTTGAATCTTAATACTATGTGTAATTTCCTGGATGATCCACGACTGTTTATATATTTTGTGATAGTTGTTCATGAGTCCCTTGTTTGTCCTGAGCTGTTCACTGCCTGCTGTTCTTCAGAAAAATCCTCCAACTCCTGCACATTCTTTGGTTTTCCAGCATTTTCTGCATATTTGAAACCTTTCAAACATTAACTGTATGATTTTGAAATCTATCTTTTAACACTGAGGACAATTGAGGGACTCATGCATAACTATTACAAAAGGTGAAAACATGTACTGATGCTCAAGAAGGCAACACAATGCATTAAGAGATTGGGGTGGGGGGGGGATTTTCATGATCCCTCTTATTTTGTTTCAATTATTAACATTTTGCACATTCTGCAAGGGGTATGTAAACTTATGAGCACAACTGTAAATACAGTTAGACCACTTAACTTAGTGATTTCTATCGGGATGTGAAAAGACTTACCAGCATAACAAAAATTGTTTTTAAACCAAATCACTTACCCTGCCTTTAATGCAACAAATACTACTATGAATTATACTTAATTTTTATATTTATAATGCTTTTTAATAATTTGGATCACATATCATCCTTTATTTGTACTACAATAGTAAAAAATATTTTTTTTTTTACTATTGTAGTGGTGCATAATTATAATAAAAATAATGTCACAATGCAAAAATAATTTAGTGGTCCTAAATACAGGCTTCATTTTTAAATGTAAAATATTTGTGTGAAATTTGACATTTCTTGACAGTTTTTGTGAGTTTTACCCAGTAGTTTTTGGGACTGAAAACAAAAACACAGTACGAACACTCCATTTGTCTCTCTCTTAAGTTATTCTCATGTTATTTCCCTGGCCTTTGTGCATTAACAAACAATTTTCATCTGTCAGTTTGCAATAAATTAGCAAGCTAAAGTAACATTTTGGAAATTAAAATCTAGGAAAAATCAGCTGTGAGCCTTCATGCTTAGATTCTGATGTAACAGTAATGTATTGAAAAAACACTTTTTTTTGTCAGTCATTCCATCACTTCACAAACAGCCTCATTTATTTAATATGATAAATCTCAATACATCACAGGTTTGGAAAAGTCTGTGACATACACATTTACAGTTCTGCAAATAGTCACCAACAAACTTCAGTAAGACAAAAAGAAAATCATTCTGTTCTTTCACTGTAAACAGTTTCTCCTGAGTGCTAATCCATCTACCTTACTGACTGTAAGTTTCACCATCATCATTACATTAATCACAAGCTGTAGCTAGATGGAAAAATTACAGTTTCTGGACACAGTTGCTTAATTCCTCAAAAGTTTACATACCCTTGAATCTTAATACTATGTGTAATTTCCTGGATGATCCACGACTGTTTATATATTTTGTGATAGTTGTTCATGAGTCCCTTGTTTGTCCTGAGCTGTTCACTGCCTGCTGTTCTTCAGAAAAATCCTCCAACTCCTGCACATTCTTTGGTTTTCCAGCATTTTCTGCATATTTGAACCCTTTCCAACATTAACTGTATGATTTTGAAATCCATCTTTTAACACTGAGGACAATTGAGGGACTCATGCATAACTATTACAAAAGGTGAAAACATGTACTGATGCTCAAGAAGGCAACACAATGCATTAAGAGATTGGGGTGGGGGGGGGATTTTCATGATCCCTCTTATTTTGTTTCAATTATTAACATTTTGCACATTCTGCAAGGGGTATGTAAACTTATGAGCACAACTGTAAATACAGTTAGACCACTTAACTTAGTGATTTCTATCGGGATGTGAAAAGACTTACCAGCATAACAAAAATTGTTTTTAAACCAAATCACTTACCCTGCCTTTAATGCAACAAATACTACTATGAATTATACTTAATTTTTATATTTATAATGCTTTTTAATAATTTGGATCACATATCATCCTTTATTTGTACTACAATAGTAAAAAATATTTTTTTTTTTACTATTGTAGTGGTGCATAATTATAATAAAAATAATGTCACAATGCAAAAATAATTTAGTGGTCCTAAATACAGGCTTCATTTTTAAATGTAAAATATTTGTGTGAAATTTGACATTTCTTGACAGTTTTTGTGAGTTTTACCCAGTAGTTTTTGGGACTGAAAACAAAAACACAGTACGAACACTCCATTTGTCTCTCTCTTAAGTTATTCTCATGTTATTTCCCTGGCCTTTGTGCATTAACAAACAATTTTCATCTGTCAGTTTGCAATAAATTAGCAAGCTAAAGTAACATTTTGGAAATTAAAATCTAGGAAAAATCAGCTGTGAGCCTTCATGCTTAGATTCTGATGTAACAGTAATGTATTGAAAAAACACTTTTTTTTGTCAGTCATTCCATCACTTCACAAACAGCCTCATTTATTTAATATGATAAATCTCAATACATCACAGGTTTGGAAAAGTCTGTGACATACACATTTACAGTTCTGCAAATAGTCACCAACAAACTTCAGTAAGACAAAAAGAAAATCATTCTGTTCTTTCACTGTAAACAGTTTCTCCTGAGTGCTAATCCATCTACCTTACTGACTGTAAGTTTCACCATCATCATTACATTAATCACAAGCTGTAGCTAGATGGAAAAATTACAGTTTCTGGACACAGTTGCTTAATTCCTCTCATTTCCTTTCCACTGAAATGTGGTATAAATGTATGACACTGATTTGTGGTATAGTCAGTGCTTGGGCACCATGACAAGTCACATTGCTGAAATTGCACGAGTCTCATACTTTCCACCTGTCAAATCAGCCCTTTGTCGACACTCTATCCAGGGTGTGTCTCAATCCGCTAGTGAAGTAAGTACACTTCCTGAGGAGTCAGCCATTTCTAGAGCTGTCCCATTGTCAAAATCTTTCTAAAACTGGAAAGTTGTTTCAGTAGCACAGACTTACTCATCACTGTCCCAATATCACCTATTTCCAATGTACACTTTCACATCATATGGAACTAGGATGTGTAATGGGACACAGCCCAAAAAGAACTATGTTGTATACCATGTCACAGGTGTCTCACAAGTTCTCAAGCACTTTGGCCTCTGTCAGATCCACCTTCACTAATCCTGCAGCTTGAGTGACATTCAGACACCAGGTGCTGAAGTTCGACCAACCCATGTAGAGGACAGTGATGACAACATATCTTCGCTTTTTCCGTCTAATGAAAACATCCGTCAACATTTACAGAGCTCCACCCCATCACACATGCACAGTCTCTCTGACACAAATATACAAACTTTCTTTCAGGTTTGGTTTCCCACAGTTGAGACCTGTGGCGGATGCGGCCGTTCACACAAAGCAGGAGCTGCTTTCGTTATAACAGGCTGACATATTGACCCGTCCATGCTCCACTGGGGCCCATTTAGGGCCGGTGATGGATCTACCATGTGCCGCAGGTTGTTTGTGCTTTTGGAGGCCTGCTTTGCATTGTCCGTTACATGGGCAGAAGGTAACAGGAGGCCTATCCGATGGGACGGTCGAGGAGGAAAACAGCACTGGCCTCAGACCACACCCTCCAGTCATCTGAAATAGACACGTGTCTGTTGGAATCGCTCTTTGACCTTGATATCCATGCTGTTTTCTTGATTCTGTGCTGCTAAATGTTTCTCAAGGTCTTTGACTGCATTCTGCACAGCGATACTGAAACGGGAGACGCTGCAGGTGGGTGGGCAGCGCTCTGACTTCTTTGGCCCAAACAGATGACATGCTTGGCTCAAGTCAACACTTTCACAAAATACTCCAAGCTCCTTGGACGGACCCCTTCTTCCTCCCAAACGGCACATTTTATGGCCCTCTGGGGGCATGCATTGTGGTCTGAAAAAAAAATCTACAGGTTGTCCCTTTGAATTGGGACACTATCGATGCTTCAATCTGTGGCAAGTCAGGAAGATCCCATGGCCCGAGCCTGAGAGGGTGGTGGCTGGGAAAGTGCGAATTACTACTTGGAGAAAAGCTCCTGGGAGAGGAGGGGAAAACATTAATAATACCGAAGCCAGGACCCCCAGTTCTATCTGCGTTCCTACCTTTCCAGGATTAAAAATAACCTCAACCATCCAAAACAATAAAGAAATCCCCGGCATCTCCTCGTCTTCATGCAGGAGGCAACTGCCAGATGCTCCGGCTGTCATGCTGGAAGAACAACAATATAGTAAGAAGTTCCACAAATGTATTGTTGTTTATCCTGAGTGTGTCTTGAGCACGTTCCTGATTCTCAGTTCGGTAGCTTTCCCAGCCTTTTCTCAGCTGCAGGAAATGCTTGAATGCCTTCCTGAGCTGCATTACTCAATCTTTAGAATTTGGTTTCAGGGATGCCCATGTGATGCCACTACGTTAAGATGAATCATTGAAGATGATGCCAACACTAGCGACAAGTTGCTTCATATTTACTTGAGTTTTAACGACAAGTAGGAGCTTCGAAGATAAAGACTTACTGACCTTGACACACTGACATGAGTTTGATACCATGTACTGATTTTCCCCTTCATGTTTCTGCACACTGGTTGAACCACATGATTGGGAAAGGTCTTCGAGTCGGGATTCGAACTCAGGATGCCCGTTGCGCAACAGCGCTGTATGTCGGCGCTCTGCTCAGGCTATCGGCGCAGACACATGAAGTTTTCTTTTCAAGAGTTTCATCCTTTTTAAGAGGCTTTTCTTCATTATAAAAGCAGATCTGTTGTACGTTATTTACATTTAGTCATTTAGCAGATGCTTTTATCCAAAGCGACTTACAAATGAGGACAATGGAAGCAATCAAAATCAACAAAAGAGCAATAATAAGCAAGTGCTATGACAAGTCTCAGTTAGCCTAAAGCAGTACACGTACCACTTATTTATGTTATTTATGCTCTAAATTGTTTTTACATGAATACCTCTTTTATGAAGAACGTGTTTTTCAAGTAATTGTTTATAGAAATTGCATTTTGTATTTTTGATTGGACAAAAAAAAAAGAGTGTCATTGAACCTTGACTTTGCTTTCGTCACATGTTGTTTTCCAACAACTTAAAAAAACTTTAGGTGCAAATGGAGTCGTGTTCATGCAGCGTTAAGTCACATTAAATGTTAACGGTTCGGATGACATACAGGTGAACATGCAGAAGCAAGGATACTTGCAAACATTCTCTTTTATGCACAGACTGCATGCTAGACTGCTCTCGAATGCTGTGGACATGGTTGTTTGAAGAAGACTATTTGTATGAAGCTCTCTTTGTTTGAATAGCACAGGTTCAGCGTGAAGTTCTCTTGGAAAGAAATTCTTTATTCTTATTTCACAAGAGTTCTCTAGCTGTATTGAATAATTTCTTTTACTAGACTTTCATTTTTGGCTGATGTCACCAAACCCTTTATTTTATTTTCCAACATTCATTCATATAGAAACCAAGCCGGTCTTGGTATGCAACACCCACTTTTTACAAATCAATTCCCAATAGATGCACGTCCCACTTTCACTTGGAAATATGTCAAATTTGGAATTTAATGAGTTGCAAATGCCATTTCATGTTGATGTGTTCCAACACATTGAACCTTGGTGATCATATGGGCATTGTGAATTTGAATATGGCTTGCAACATTTCGAATTCACCTGTCTTTCGTCGCAATCACTTTCTTTCTTTCATGGAACACAAAAAAAGATATTTTGAAGAATGTTTCAACTGTTTTGGTCTACAGTGTAAGTCGGTGGGGTCCAAAATGACATTCAACTCTGTCGACCTTCATTAATTAACAAAATAATCATTACTGTTTTTAGAAATAATAAGGGACTTATTTCTTCCATGACAGCAGGTTATAAAAGCTGTACTCGTCGTAATTGTTTGTCTTAAATTAAACTCTTCAGGGAATTCAGTCTTCCGCTTTTTTATATCCTCATTGTCCCTCTGCTGTATCCTTTGTATTGTGTGAATAATAGATTTACGGCAGCTAAAAAGGTGTAAAGAGCCCTGTCATTCTGATCAAGCCTTGCTTACAAAGAATTATGATACCATGACATGCATTATTCCCTTGTGGCCTTTTTTATTCTTGGTCAGTACAATTATTAGTGCCATTTGTTACAGGAAGCATTACGTTTACAATCGCTCGTAATTCCAGTGTCCTTAGTTATGACATTATGAGTGCCGAACCCCTATTTTTGGAAGTATGTTGCTAAAAGGCAGTTAGACTTCAAAATAAAATCACTCCGTGTTCCTGCAGGTACCACCTAGTGAAGCTCCTGGAGAAGTTTGGCAAAGTGAAGCAGTTTGACTTCCTGTTCCATAAGTCAGGTCCCCTGGAGGGCCAGCCAAGAGGATACTGCTTTGTCAACTTCCACACCAAAGAGGTTCTGGTCGTTCTTCTTTACAACATCTGAGAATTAATCACCCAAAATACCAAAGGAAGTGTCAGTTTTGATCCAGTAATGATATGCAAGTCTTTAAGAGGCACCCAGACAGCTGATGCAGATAAGGAACCGTTGGCTCTCTGGAGTGTAATATGAGGCAGTCCCAAGGGTGTTGTTGAAGGGGAAATGTGTGTTTACAGATCTCATTCACGCCCTTCATGAGAGCTTGGAAAACTAGTGATCCATCATCAGCCATTATTGTTCCCTATCATTACGCCATGCTTCCAGCAACAGCCAGAAACTAGAAAGTAGCAAACAAACACACAGGAAGGTTCAGAATCCAGACTCTTCAGAGACGATTTTTGAACAGCACTAATAGAGGATTTCAAAAATAGACATGAAACTCTTGTAATCCTGATAGTGTTAGCGGAGTATAGTGACTTGTTTATAGATGCATGCATGATTGTGATCATTATAAAAGCATAGCATTTGTAACAATCAGTGTTTTCTGTCCATCACAGGAGGCTGAACGGGCTATTCAGTGTCTGAATGGAAAATTGGCACTTTCTAAGAAGTTAGTGGTGCGTTGGGCTCATGCTCAGGTAAAGGTGGGTATCACATAAGTTGTGGTGTTTGCTTAGACAATCATCACTATTACTATTGCTCATACTATAGGTTAGTTAGGTTAGTAGTTTGTTAAAGTCTCTTACCCTAAGTAACTGTTTTTGCCTTATGGAGGGCTGCAAATAATTCATTTTTTGGTAACACTTTAGAATGGGGAACACACAATTTGCTGCTTATTAATAGTTAGTAAGGTAGTTGTTAAGTTTAGGTATGGGGTAGGATTAAGGGATATAAAATATGGTCATGCAGAAAAAGGCATTATTATGTGCTTTATAAGTCCTAATAAACAGCCAATATGCTAGTAATGTGCATGCTAATAAGCAACTAGTTAATAGTGAGAATGGGACCTTAAAAGAAAGTGTTACCCATTTGTTTTAATCGATCAGACGTTTGCCTTAAAGGGTTAGTTCACCCAAAAATGAAAATGAAAAAAGAGGCATCCTAGGTGTATATGACTTTCTTCTTTCAGACGAATCCAGTCGGAGTTATATTAAAAATTGTCCTGGCTATTCCAAGCTCTATCATTGCAGTCAGCGGGTGTTGCAGTGCTTCAGTCCAAAAGAAGTGAAATAAAAAGCGCCCATCCATAAAAATCTCTCACAAGGCTCAGGGGGGTGAACAAAGGCCTCCTGTAGCGAATCGATGCATTTTTTGTAAGAAAAATATCCATATTCAAAACTTAATAATCACTTTAATCTAGCTTGCGTTCACTGTTGTACACGGAAGCAGCTCCAGGCAGATGACGTATGAGTTCAGCGTTGCGCATGCTCCGGTGAGTCTCGTGAAAACCAACATTTGTTAACAGGAGCAAAGGAAGCAAAGTTTCCTTAATTTAGCAAAGGAAAACCAGTCTCCTCTTGGCTTATATCGAAATCCTCCGACATTCTTCTTTACAAATCCTCGTTTTGTACTTCTAATTAGTGACCGTTGTTTTGTTTTGATCTCTCCCCTGCGCTTCCGCGTGCGTCACTTCTGACTTCTTTGCATGCGCAAAAGCTGAACTCATACGTCATCCACCGGAGCTGCTTCCGTTTACAACCGTGAGCGCAAACTAGATTAAATTGATTATTACGTTTTAAATATGGTTCTTTTTCTTACAAAAATGCATCGATTCGCTACAGGAGGCCTTTGTTCACCCCCTGGAGCCGTGTGAGACACTTTTTTTTATGGATGGGCGCTTTTTATTTTACTTCTTTTGGACTGAAGCACTGCAACACCCGCTGACTGCAATGATGGAGCTTGGAATAGCCAGGACAATTTTTAATATAACTCCGACTGGATTCGTCTGAAAGAAGAAAGTCATATACACCTAGGATGCCTCGGGGGTGAGTAAAACACAGTCAAATTTTCATTTTTGGGTGAATTAACCCTTTAAGGATGATAAAACAGGACAAAATACAAAATTCAACTTATATTGAAGGAAGGCCATATCTAGAGACCAGAATATCATGGGCCTTGTTCGGACTGAATTTCATGTGGGTTTTCATTTTTTGTTGTGTGACATTTTAATGGCTGATACTTACATCTTTGAGAGCAGGTTGGCTGTTATAAAGCGTATAAAAAACATAACACAATTTAATTTAAAAATAGTAAATAAAACATAACATTGCTCAAATAAAATTAACATTTATTTTATATAATATTTGAAATTTTTTTGAGCTTGATTAAAAAAAAAAGAAAAAAAATTACATAACTTCTTGATTCTGTTCTTTAATCCTACTTTAGTATTTTTTTCCCACAGTAAAGAAATTAAATTAAAAATATACACTTCCGTTCAAAGGTTTAGGATCAGTATGATTTTTTTTGAAAAAGAAGTCTCTTCTGCTCACCAAGGTTGCATTATAAAAAAAGTAAATACAGTAAAAGGTAATATTGTGTATTGTGTATAATATACCATTTAAAATAACTGTTATCATTTGTAATATATTTTAAAATGTAATTTTTTCCCTGTGATGTAAAGCTGAATTTAGAGCATTTAAATGTAATGTAAAGCATTACTCAAGTCTTCAGTCTCACATGTTCCTTCAGAAATCATTCTAATATGCTGATTTGCTGCTTTTCAGTGTTAAAAACCGTTTTTGCTGCTTAATTATTTTTTGTGATACAATTTTATTTTATTTTTTACAATTTTTTAGTGCATAGAAAGTTTAAAAGAATTGAATTATTTGAAATAGAAATATTTTGTAACATTACAAATGTCATTTTTGATCAATTTAATCCATCCTTGCTAAATAATAATAATAAAAAAAAAACTTACTGACCCCAAACTTTTGAATGGTATTGTATAAATTAAAAAAGAAGATAAAACTGTGACCAACAGTGAACTCAGTAATTTGGTTAATCTGGAATCACATTTTTTGTGTGTAAAAAATGAATACCACACAATGCTAATTACTTTTCCACCAGTCATCGTTGTTTTCATGGGTCTGTATTTGTTGCTTAACTGTGATACTCGCAATGACAGCGCAACAAACAACGCACAGGCCAACGTTTACCATTTTTTATGCCGATGTCTGTGATAAATGTTCAGATTTCGATACTGCGCTCATGAAAAACATACTCAGTGGAAAAACACCCATTGCTAAAGTCTCACGCATGGTGGGTTTAAACAGTTTAGCATATAACTTGCCATTTGAATAGCGCGTCCAGAAAAGTGCGTACATTGCCATGTAGACTTGAGGGTGGGCTGTTTTGACTTGGGCCATTAAGCCCACCCAGTAACCACTCAAAACATCCTAGCAACACTCAGTGCACCTCAGCAACCACAAAGCAACAACCTAAAACACCTTAGCATCATTCCTGTAACTTCAGTCCATCAATGACATTAATAAATGCTTCTATTGTTGTTCTATGGAATATCTGGGTGCCGCTACAACAAAACAGACCGTGAAGATCATGGATCACATGTATAGTTGAGCTATAGAGAGGGGCTCCTGAGGCTGCCCGGCTCCTTAACAATAGGCAGCTGCCGCTGGGAGTGAGGAAATCCTGTATGGTTGAGAATCGCGCCCCTCCCGCGCACCCCCTCTGCCCCTCCCCGTCTGAGGGGAGCGGGACACCAGGCCGGGGTCAAGGTCAACAGTGCAGAGATGTTGACAACAAGTAGCAGCAGACAGGTCTGGTTCCAGGTCCTCTTGACCACCTCCACCCAACACTGTGCTCATTGTGAGGCTGGTGAAAGTGTTGGATTGGTCTGGGAAGGCCGTGTGTGGGTATCGGTGTATTCTTCAGCACTGTGTTTATATCAGCCGTGCCCTTTGAAGGCCTCTGGTTCAGTGAAGCTCTCTGATAAATGTGGTGTATTTAAAAAATGGCTTCCTCCTTATATGTAGTTGTTTGGGTGGAGTGCAGCGATCTGAAGGAAAATAAACAGAAGTTAAATTATTAAATGATTGTATACAATTATTTATTGATTGTATACTTATATAAGTTATTATATAATATATATAAGTATAATTATATAATTGTATACAATAATTATATTGTATACAATTATTAAACGATTGTATAACCTAAAGAATCAGAAGCAGACTGTTAGAATGTTGCTTTATGGTTTTCTGTTTTTTAAAAAATGCGATTTTACAAAAGTTAATAAAACCCTATTTACTTGTCCTTGGTCTCATTGTGCAAAATTTATTAGTATTCATAAATTAATTACATTATTTTACATACGATTTTCTGCTTATGTAACAAAAGCTGTGCAGGCAATACAACTAAATACAAAAAAATTATTTTATTTTATTTTTGTTGAGCAAACCACGTTTTCATTATGCAATTGAGCTGCTGTCCGAATATCGACCAAATCAAAGTACTTCAAAAAAACGTTGGTAATTTATTTTTAGATTTTGCTTCTTTTTTTTTTTTATTAACTATAAAAAATAACTGACAAAATCAATCACCCATGTTAATTATTTTCATTATTTAACAAAAAATGTAAACTGAATGCTATTCAAATGCTATTTTCATCATTTTGTTGTCAATAAAAATTATTGTTGTCAATAAAAAAATTCTCTGAGAAAATATAATGCTGAAATAAAGTACAGAAAATTACTGTTTAGTTTTTCAGTAACATTCAACCGCAAATACTGCAGCCTCCTGTTTTTGCATAAGCTAAATGAAGGAATTATAATCAGATGGTTATATTATGGGGCTTTCCTGCTTTCAGAGGAGGGTGCCACTATATCTCTATGATATTTTGGATATTGGATATATTTTTTTTCACCTGTTTTATCATCCACCAGGTCTGATTGTTTCGAAAAGTAAGAGCAACTCTCATAATGAATGATTTAAAGTATCATTTGCGTATGTTCAGTAGTTACATGCCAAAGCTTACTTCAGTTTAGGAATTTGGAACAACAAGCTCTTCTTAACATTGGCAAACTCTTTATTATTCAAACAAAATCGATCCAAGCAGATCAAATTCCCCATCCTAAAAAGAGACAAGTCCCAGCCCACACTATTTGACACCTAATATTCAGTTTAACTCAATAAATGTCTCATTATGGAAGTTAAATGCATTGTGAAAGCAGCTTCATAGTGTCTTTAATTGTGTTTCGATACATTAGAATCCAAGGGTTGGAGAAATATCTGTAATTCCTAAATACATGTCTAACCCAGTTGTAAATAATTTACAATCTAGTCTCTCATCAAATCTCTTTGTTTTTATTCCCCACAGATTCCCAAGAGCTATCATCACCATCCTCATGGTTGCAAGGGTTGTTGGATGGACGTTTTTGAGTGGAATGAATGTTTATGATGTTGCATAGCCCAACTTTTCCCACACTATTCCAAGGGAGCATATAACTAATAAGCAGCCAGCTCTTGTTTTTTTTCTGGTCTCTAAAGCAACCAAATGAGTTTAAGTTACTAAAGGCCCAGAAAGTTATACAACCCTTACACAACCCCTCAGTGCATGTAGTCTTGTATCCATCCTGGTGTGTGTTTGTTGTCTTTCAGAAGTTTGAACCCTTCAGAGGAGACAAAAATATGCCGGCCAGTTTAGAGCCTTCATCCAGTGAAGCCGAGGAGCTGCCAACCGCACTAGGGTTTGAGACATTACCACTCAAAGTCTCTCAGTTGCCTTTCATTTTCTTCCACGTTTCGAATTTCTCCTGTTCACTTTCCCTCCTGTTTTTGTTTTCGTTCTCAACCGTTCCCTTTCCAAATGGCCCTGATCTCACACTGAAGAAAGTGACCCATTTGGACTGGATAAGAAGGTTAATGCTCTTTTCTTTTCTCTCGATTCCCTTTCCTCTGCTGTTTTAAGTGTTAATGCAAAGATTCGTGCCATCGAAGCCAAGCTGCAGATGATGGAAGAAAACCCAGATGACTATTCCGGCCCATCTGCGTACATCTACAACAAACCCTCCGATAAAAGAGACAAGAGGTCCCAGCCCTACTACAAGCCGTTCCACAAATTCAGGAGATGACCTCTCCAACAACTGTCCAAGTGTCTCTGCACTGAAGGGACTGTGAGATGTGTGGAGATAAGCTAAGCTGCTCTTGTCTCTTGGCCAGTGAGAGACAAACAGTGAAAGTCCAACACCTTTGATTTGTAGTGCTGTTCTGTCTCTCGGCCAGTGAAGGAGTCGTTTTACTGTGAAAGACAGCTGATGTAAGCAGAATCTAACCACAAAATTCTAGTGAATTCATTTTTCCTTTTTTGAACATTGATGTTACCCAAGTAATTTCAGTTCTTCGGGGGTTTAAAGGGATAGTTCAGTTGAAAGATGACAATTCTGTCATCATTTACTCCCCTTTGTTGTTCCAAACCAGTAAGAGGATTTTGATAAACGTCTTTTTTGGGTCAAGTCAATGTTGTTTGAACCCTAAAGTATATTCTTTTGTGCTCCACAGAAGAAACAACAGTTGTACAGGTTTGGAAAATCATGGAGGCACATAAATCATGATCGAAATTTCACTATCCTTTCATGAGTTTTGCATCTTTTCAAAATCTCAGTTTACATCCCTTTCTTGAAATCCTTCCAGAATATATCTCGCGTTGTTTTTTTATTGTAAACTGCCCAGTGTGCTGCTTGCGAAAGTGTTGTTGTGTGTTGCGAGTCTCATGATCCTAAATCTACATACTACTCAGACTTTACCATTCTTTGTTACACTGTTGTATGTGTAACGGAAGCACAATATTATGCATTGTTTATTTAACTATTAATATCTTGAATTTTTAAGTCTAAAGTGAAAAGGGCTTTTATCACATGATCTGCAGAGGGGGCATCACAACAGCAGATGTCATCAACAGTTTAGATCAAGTGTAAATATCCAGGTATTTTGATAGATTTTGCTCCTGTCGTGTTCAAAAATAAATGAAACGGTCCTCCTAGGTGTCCAAGCTTCTTGTGCTTTCATTTGAAATGGACATGTTTGTGTATTTAAATCACAGTAAGGTCTGTTGTGCTGTTTTTGCATTGGTTTGAACTCCCTGTAATGATCGATAATAGTGTCTGTAGTGACCATTTTTATAGCAGCGTTGTCTTAATAGCCTTCGTTTATTTATTAGACTGCGAACGTTTTCAATTATGAACAGGCCTAGTGAGTCTCTTGCCATAAGGAGAATTTAATTATTTCAATATCAGTTGGACCCTAAAATAATCTGTTGTCTTGTTTATTAAAACTGTTTCGTTTTTAAATTCGAATTAGCATGCGTCATTAGCGGGGTTTCGTAACAATGGCGAATCTGAGCCCCTGTCCATTTCATTTGATTTATTACTGTTTATTTGTTTTTAATTTACTGGGTTCGTTTCTTTTTCGACACTACTAGTATTGTGATATAAAAACAGGCCTAAATCAGTCACATCGACTAACGAGGCAATTTTCCGCCATACACTTAAAAATAAAGGTTCTTCATTTGCATCGATGGTTCTACGAAGAACCTTTAACATCCATGGAGCCTTTCCCTTGCACGAAATGGTCTTGACAGTGGACAAATGTAATTTTAAGAACTGTTCGCTGAAATGGTTTCCCCCCTATAATAAATCAATTAAAAAAAATACATAAAACTTTTGTAACCGTTAGAGGTCAAATAAACTGTAGGTTAATATGATGTATACATTCTGCAAGGTCACGTCACATTATTCCTCTATTCGTATTCATTTACAAACCCCGAACAACAACAAGTTCAGATTCAAATGAAAGGCGAGTAATAGTTGGGTTTTATAACAGCTGCTCCCATTGAACCTAAACTCTTTCCTTTATAATCTCTTACATGCACATGCAACCCTTCATTCTAACAATATAGGCTACATGAATATATCCAGACGATCTTTTCCATAATGCAACTGTTGCATAAAAAAAGGTCTACGCCTCTCCCTCTACCTGGATATTATCGGATGGAAATGTGTTTTCCCGCTGTTTCTCCCCGACATAATAATAGCATGATGGTTTTGTGAAGGATATATTTTTATCATATAGTTTGCGATACAGTCATCTGCATAAAAATATGATCTAGGCCTACATGAATTATATAGGCTACAGTTTGGCATTTAAATATACATGAACGATATATTATTGCAATATAATATAATACGACACATAGGCCTATCCAAGTGGACTTCTTAACAAATAAAAACAATTAATCGTGCGTTTGGACATTTCATTGAATTACACGGCTATAAACGGCCTCGGTAAGAAATGTCTTTGTTGTTACAAAAACTTGCAATTAGCCTACCAATCCAACTGTTAACGAATAGAACCTATATATTTGAACCTTCTGTTGTTCAAAAGAGACAACTGTTTTTTTTTTTTAATGAAAGTTAATTTTGTTTTATAGCCTTTTTATGCTCTATAAACTGGAAGATCAAGCATGGCCTATTTCATATAATTTATGAATCAAACGTGATATGAAATATTCTTTAAAATCTTTGAAATTGCATATTAAAACTTATTTTTGCTATTAAATCTCATACGCTCGATACCACTAACAGCCCTGATAGGCTAAATATTGACTTTCGAATGTCGAATATCATTTTTTAATCGCTAATTTGTCAGACAGTTAAAACCCAAACATCATGCAAGGTTTCAGCATCACAAAATGTCGATACATACTCAGACCACATCTCTTCCCTCCCCTCTGATCTGTAAACTTTCAGAAGGTAGGCTGTGCTCTGGCTGCCTATGAGGAGAGCAGGAGCAAAACCTGCCAGCCCCTCAATTTTCTCCACTTCCTGTACTCAAGCAACTGCATCCCAAAAGAGGGAAAAAGTAGGAAATATCCTGCATAAGGCGTCCTTCTAAATAAGGCGTCCCGACGAACCGCTCGCGCTCGGCGCGTCTGCTGCCGCTTTACTGACCTAGCACGAAACTTGCTTTCGACGTTTTTGTTAGTTTACCGATCGTTATTGATTGACTGTACGGAAGGAAACAGCGAACTGGGTTCATATTAGACCGATTTTGACCGCATGGGATAACGAATCTTTAAGAGAACAAGCTTGAAGCAATTTGAAGATATCGAAAGAGAAGGTTAAGCCGTCAAATGTATTGGAAAAATGAGGCTTTGGCCCCTCTATCAGAGGGAAATCAGTTTTTATCCGAAGGAATTCCCTCAAAACAGGTAAGACTTTTATCGTATCCTATTTCAAGTGTTGACTATAATGCAGTCGTGCTTATTATTATTATCCATTTAACTGCATAGAAAGAAAAACTTCGTTTCACTGGAGAAGCAGCCAACATGTTGCTCGATGTTAAAGTCCTCTATATATCATCTCCTGCAGCCTGTAGCATCTTCAACTTAAAGTGATGTCATGAGAATCAGGATCTGTTCTGAATGGTGTGATTTGCGGTCCATCCTCTTCACATGCCAAGTCTGCAGAGGAAAAATTAGATTTTAATTACTGCCATTAAAAATCAAATTTGCAATTCTTTGGGTGGCCCGTTGCTTTCTCTGATTGGCAGTTGAAATTGACACTCTGGGGTCCTCTTATCGCGAGCATTTCAAGCTATTTGTAATTGCAGGTAGTTTTTTTTTTTTCCAGCTCCCTGGATTGCGTGGAAATACGATTATGGGAAGAGGCACGGGTTAAGTGTGGGGAAAAAAATCAATCCAAATTTAAATCGCTTCATTAAAACAGGGGCTTTTTGTCGCGAGGCTCTCAATGCACAGTTAAAAGCGTTTTTATTGTTTTTGGACGCATATATAGCGCAGGGACCATGCCTGACATGGAGCACTGTGGCTTGACTGTGTTGTAGGTGATCTCTCCAGACTCGCACAGCACACCGGGAGCATCGCGCTGCGTGGACGGACAACACGGTCGCGCGATGGTGAGGAGCGATAATGCGCCTTCGTCGCGTCTCTGCTATAGCTCAGAGAGTTTTGCTTTTGCAGAAAAGGCCTTCAGACATAACATAACATAACACTCTTTACTGATGTAACCTAATGCAATTTTGTGGATTATTCCAACTTGGATTTGTAAACCGCTTTTATATTATTAGCGTTACAAATGTCACTAAATGTCCAAATGTTTAGAAAACCTCTTTATTTATATTTAAGTTGACGCGACTATTTCAGGTTTCGATTTTCTTCATCACGAATTCAATTCGAAATGTTCGGGAAAAGTGCAGCAAATCACTGCTTGCTGTTTAAGTGTTCAGTTTAGATTTTTTTTTTTTTTACAACAGAAAATTCCTGTCGACCTTCTGAACCTCATACTTTCCAGAGTGTGATATTTATCGCGCTTTTCCCCCTCGCAGTCACAGTCTGACGGAGAATCTCACAGGTCTAATATGGAGAAAGAGGACCCTCGCTCTTCGCCCAGTCCGCCCTCGACGCCGTCCGTCTGCTCGCCCATCTCCAGCGCCTCCTCCGTGCCGTCCACCGGGAAGAACGTGTGCGCGAGCTGCGGCCTCGAGATCCTGGACAGATATCTGCTCAAGGTGCGAGGGCGCGAGTGTGTGTTTGTGTGTGTCATCTGGTGTGACGAGTGAACTGACTCTTGTTATATAATATTAGTGTTTGGAGTGGAGCTTTTGACTGACTCTCGCAAAGCTTTTGCGCACACAATTACGTAGTTGGAACGATTTAGTAGGCTGTGCTTTGTCTGATTGTTGCTTTTAAAATTATTTTATATTGTTTAATATTAATTATTATTTTGTATTAACTCTCATGTTTGGGGTCTGATACACCGCGGCCAATTTAATAGATCGAAAAATATAGGCTTAAAGTGATCGACTAAATAATTAACATTTGTTATTTTCCTAATCGTATGATAACTGATTCTAAACAAAATAGATGAAACGCTTCAATAAATGTTACATGAGGATACGTATGTTTTGGGTCTCAGAGTCCTCATGTAGCCTTTAAATGAGTAAATAGGCCTGTTAAAAAAAGAAAAACAACGCATTTTTTTTCTTTTTTTATTGTACTTTCTACAATGTTTCTCTTTTTTGTTTTATTGTTTTGCTGGGGTCAAATTGATCAGAAGCAGAAACGTTACTAACCAGTCATATTTCTGAAAAATGCATGCCAACTTTGATATAACAGATTGGGTTCAGGTTTCTGTAATGTCTGCATGTGTTTTGGTTTGGTCAGAGCAGCATTATAATAATGTGAACGGGACAAGAGGTTAATTTCGAAATTGCTGTTATTTTTACACATACATCATATAATAAAGTAAATTTCAGCATAACATGATGGGATAAAAATTATTACGATTTTTTAAATCTACAGATATAGATGTTGATTTTTCAACAAAAAAGTTGTCTGTATTTTGCTTTCTAAAAATGACTAGCCGTTTTTAGTGCAGATGTTGACAGTATCGCTGTGCTCTCGGCCTGCTTGTTTTTCAGGAAGTGCGTGTGTTGCGCGTGAGGATCATTAGCGCGAGCTCTGACTGTCGTGTTTTGCTCTTTTGCGGAAACTAATAAAACAGTGCGTGAGTTTATTACAATTTAGTCAGGATGAACGAACTTAGACCCCTTTTTGTGCATTTCCCTTTTCCTCAGCTCTTGGGATCCGAGAGTCTGGGAATATAATCACACTTATTATTTATATTTTTTCGACAGAATGTTTAAAAAAATATTTCTAAGATGCACCTTACATGAGTCGTAAATGTTCCACAGAGAACATGTTTATAATCCCAAATCTCAGTAATCAAATTTGAAATATCAATAATTATACATTTCTGGACGGAATATGTTGCATGTTGAATTAACATTATTAAATTATACTTTTTTTGTTTTGCTTAAAATTCAACAAAATAGGCTACGTAATGTGCATGCATCTACATTTATATTTAAACACCTTTGTACACAGCGCAATTCAAATGAAATATTCACAAAATATTTACCAAAGTCTAATTTTAAATCACACCTTTAATTTTATTTAGTAGCCTGTCATATTTATGTGATTATATATGGCAGTCATTTTGAGACTGTTCATATAAAAACACGTGTGTGCGGTTCGACTTATTAATTTTAATGCACGTTGACATTCCATTTTACAATACTATGCACGACGAATATTATGTAATGCCTTTTTAAAGAATATGCTAATTATTTTCCACTATTATTATTATTATTATATTTTCATATGGGCTGTTCTGTTTGTTCCAGGTTAATAATCTGATCTGGCACGTGAGGTGTCTGGAGTGTTCCGTTTGCAGGACGTCACTACGTCAACACAGCAGCTGCTACATCAAAAATAAGGAAATCTTCTGTAAAGTGGATTATTTCAGGTAGGGTAAGTTTTCACTTTCTGTCCTCAGAAATATCAGGAGAGCATATTAACGCAATACTGCTTAATTATTAACTTTTGGTTGAAAATGCGACGCGCGAGTGTTGCGTTTGGGTTTAATGCTAAAAATACGATTTCTTAAAAAAAAGTAGCGTTCTAATTCTTACCACAGCAAATACATATAATTATGCAATACGCCGTTTGTAATTTAGTTAATTGTCTAGTGATAAAATCGTTGAAAAAGGCCTTATACAACAATTTAAAATATCAATAACATCATACAATGTGATATTCATAACATTCGATTTATTAGAAGCATTTCGTATTTGTAGCTAATTTATTCATCAGTTAGAAAATCTTATACTTGTCTTCTCTAAAGCTCCATTAGAACTGCGTTTTATATTATAATAGTAAAACACACAAAAAATTGATCGGAGACCAAAATAACAGTTGTAGCTTATTGTAAGTAAATATTTTATAATACTTTAATTGGTGTTTCCGATTCAGTCACAATTTAGATGTTACCACATGAAGCACTTTTTTTTTTTTTTGCTGTGTGCTTTGGATTATGCAAAAAAAAGAAAAAAATCGTTTACTGTCCACAAAAGGAGATGATGTCAATAGTAGTAATGAGAGGTCTAAATAGTACTTGATTACTTGATTATTAGTGGAGTTAAATTTGCCGGTATTTCCTTGTATGCGACTGAATAGTGTTAGAAATCAAACACAAGTTACATAATTCAATCTCAGAAGTATCAAGCTCTGGTTAAGACCCAGTAATATGCTGATGGGAAGGCATGGAGTGAGGGAGATCCGACAGGGAAGCTGTGAAATTGCATTGAGGCTAGAAGGGCTTGCGATATGGCATGATTGCAGAGCACTCAGCAAGGCCTGTGAATGGCACTGTGATATTGGCCAGCCTTCCCTGCTTATTGCTCGTCAATGTGAATGACTGGCTCCTTTAAAGTCAATGCTGTGTTGCAGGAGAGGGTTTGTTTTCTACGTTAAGGCCAATAATCTGAAGAGATGCTCCACGAGATGGTGCATCAATGCCTTGATCTTCACTGGTTGTGTTGAGTCTAGGGCGTCAGGATCTCTCAGGCTGTTTATGCACGAGTGATTACAAGAGGAAAAACTCTGAAAGGAATGCAAAAAACTACACAAAATAGACTTTATAGGGGATTATGTTATAGATTTTATTATGGACGAAACCATATTCTGAAGATGGCGAGTTGTGGTTTAGTACAATAGAAATCTGAAATGACGGAAACGCTTTGAGAACTGCTTATTGATGGCAGTTAAATAAAAAGGACAAGGGTTTTTACAAATTCTTCCAAGTGGTTTAATGTGTATTATGTTATTGCCATTAAATATGCTAACAGTATTCACATTTCTTCTAACTGACCTTAAAAACTTAAGTGTGATTTTCATGTGATTTGTAGCTTGTAGAAAATTAATAAATAAAAAAGTTAAATTCAGATGAATAAAATAAATGCAAATTCCAGTACCCAATTTTTCAGATGTTTAAAATAGCTGTATATACATATAAAATTGTATTTTATTGTAAAAAATTATAGCAGCATTTTATTTTATTAATATAAAATGTTCATGTATTTTTTGTTCCTCTGCAGTTCTGTATGTCAAAACAGCAACCATAGGGGTTTATGTTGGTTTTGGCATAATAAAATTCAGCCTCAGATTGAAGTTTTTTCCCCTAATCATCTGAGATAATCAGGAAACATAATCAGATATACGGTTAACATTTTTTGACATGGAACATCCCCGGAAGCGAAATACTGATTGACTCACGTTTGCCTTGAAAAAGAGAGTAATAGCTCCATGCTTGTGGAGTCGAGTTCAGTGATCTGAAGCACACTCAACATGTGTTTTTCTCCAGTGGCATTGAAACATCTCTCTTGTCAAGTCTTCTGCAAATAGAAGTATTTCTTATAAGTATAAGCAGATTTCACCTTTTTTTAGTCTGAGTGTTGGTACCCATTTATATATATATATTCCATATAAAGAGATTGAGATCATAACTGCTAGTAGTTAGCAGAACGCAGCATTTGACATAATTGCTTGAAACTAATTCTGTACATTTATCTCCACACTCTTACGTTTTTTTATTGGCATCGATGGTTCCATAAAGAACCTTTAACATTCATGGAATCTTTCCGTTCCACAAAATAATCTTTATAATGGAAAAAGGTTCTTTAGATTTTTTAAAAATGTTCTTCACACTGAGAAAAATTTTTTTATTTTAAGAACTGTTCGCTGATAGGTTCTTTGAGGAACCAAAAATGGTTCTTTTATGGCATTGCTGCAAAAACCCATTATTCAACTTTCATTTTTAAGAGTGTATATTTATACAACTGGACATAAATGTATTCATAAACTGGTTTCAAGTTTAGATGTCAATTATTTGATTTCTTTTTCTATTGACATAATAAGTAGACTTGTGATTGGTGAACCTGTGGCACAAGCTTATGATCGCAATGCCATGTTTGTCTCTGGCAGCTGGATTGTTTTGCTGGTGCTGCACAACACCAAAAGAGGACAAGGAGATATGTTTCATTTGTGTTGGTCTCTCATCTGGGCTAGATTGACTGCTGCTCTAATAGAGTGTAATTACAGGAAATCAAAGTGGGTTTGCTGTGTGTGCGAGGGGGGGGGGCAGATCTGGCGGTAAAGGGTCAGAGCGGAGACTGTACCTACACTAAAAAGAAACAGCCACAAAGGCAAGAGCATCAGGCCACACAGGAAGTCAGAGGAGGCTGTTAATCAGAGGAACCAAAGGATAAGGACAGGGTGATGGAGTAAGGCGGTAACCCGAGTGGGTTTGTGCGGAGCTGAGATCGCTAGATTTGGAGGAGATGACGTACTGTAATGGCCATATGCGCGTACAGGACTTGTGTTTAAATGCAAACAGAAGTAAACAGAGCTTGTGTCACTCATAACTTGCTGGAGAATGCGGGAAATTATATGAGTGACTGAAATTACGATGACAAAATGAAATGTGTTTTTTTTCCTGGTTAACAGAGGAATCGATTGCTTCAACATATGTATATGTTGGAGAATAGAAAATAAAGAGAATAATATTTTTTTCTGTGGATGGGTGCTAAGGTGTTGTTAGGTTGTCCGAAATCGCATACTGTCTAGTAGACAAATCCTGTCCTGTGGCCTCATGGGATAGTAAAGAGTCATTAAATGCGCAATCCAGAAATTTGGTGGAAGTACTACGTCATCCAGTTACTTTTCGCCTATTTTTGAATACTATAAATTAGGACGTACTACTACTGTTTTTCGCATATATAGTATGGAAGTAGGAATTTTCGAATGGGTTAAAGGGACCTGTATGAATTTCTTTCTTCTGTTGAACACAAAATCTTGAAGAATCTTGATAGCCAAACTGTTGATGGTAGCCATTGACTTTCATAGTATGAAAAAAATACTGTGGAAGTCAACTGTTTGCTTAGACACAATCTTCTAAATATCTTCTTTTGTGCTCAACAGAAGAAAGAAATTCATATAGGTTTGGATCAATCACAATGTAGTAGGGCTGCACGATTAATCGAATGCGATTGTCATGCACATCTTGTCAGTAAAGCCGGTTCTGTGATTAGTAGTAAATCTCCATCACCTGCTTTCAGATGGAGCAGCATTTACTACACAGAGCCATAGTTCACTGACAAGCTACGCAAAATCGCGTTCATAATCGCAGACGATATAATCGCGCGATTATGAAATAGAGGAAATCGTTCGCGATAATTAAAGTTGTTTGCGTAGCTTCTCTTTATTCAGCTGCAGCGATAGGCATTTCCTGGATTTCTTCTGCGGGGTGTATTTGGAGTTTCAGCGCGAGAGCGCCCTCTGGCCTTCGGATGGAGATTTACTGCTGATCACAGAACCGTGCTTCACTGAAAAGATACACATGACAATCGCAGCTTCTGCCCAATCGCGACTTATCGCCTTTGCGATTTCATTTCGATTAATCGTGCAGCCCTACAATGTAGTATGCAAATAAATGCAAAAAAGCAAACAAATCGCATACTATAAATTTAGAAAGTTTTTTTTCGCATACTATATAGTATGGAAGTAGGCACTTTCAACTGCGATAATGGGACCTGCATGAATTTCTTTTAATATTGAACACAAAAGAGGATATTTTGAAGAATGTTGATAACCAAACAGTCGCTGGTAGCCATTGACTTTCGTAGTATGAAAAAATACTGTGGAAGTCAATGGCTACCAGCAACTGTTTGGTCAGACCCATTCTTCAAAATATCTTCAAATTCGTAACAAGAAGAAGAGTAAATGATGACAATTTTTTTTATAGATATAAGTCTCTATTATGCTTTCTAGATATGGTTGACATATGTCTACCATGTTTCTCGGACAATTTATCGTCCACGAGGTTTTGTTGATGCAAGTGCTAAAGAATGGAAAAGCACACCTCAAAAAGTTGTAAGATTTGCGGTTACGATTATTTATGCCTGTTGCACAAGCAATGGAATGGGACGAGTTACATACCAAAGTTAAATACTCACGATTCAGGGTTTTGAAAAACCGCCATGAGCAATAGTAAAAGCGATGCTCGCCGTAGCAAACACAGCTAATATGTCTCAGCAGTCTCTGAGAGGGAGATTTCACCAGATTATAATACTCAGAGAGTATATCAAATTTAATCTAACGAATTTGTACTTCCACAAGCTTCTCTTTTCCAGCCAAAGGTGAATTTCTCCGGCGCTGAGGGAAACGCTTTGCGGCTGCAGGAATTTTTCCCGGCGAGTTATGATCTGCAGGACAGAAATAAATCCAGAATAAGCACAACAACGCACAATCAGACGTGCGGCACATCTGAACAAAAACAAAACCCCCTTAAGATCTTTATGGCTTTTCTGAAAGGTTTTGCGGTAAATGAACTGCCATGACAGATTACGGCTCCGTTCCACAATGTTTCTCCTCTAAACACACGTCTGAAATGCATCATTACTCAAACGTTGTATTCTTTGTCTGGAACGATGCTGTCAGAATATGGTGTGCAGTGTACACAGAAAGCCCTTTGAATGCTTTTTGCAGGCATTAATACGTGAGGCGTGTTTTATGTGTCGATACTTTACACATAAGTGGACTGTAAATATTTTTGAAGGTTTTTGATTCAGGTTTGTTTTCGCTTCTTGGCTCATCCTGCTCAAGTGACGATTGGCAGAGACAAATTATTATACATACACACAAGTGCCGGTCCAAGTTTCCTGGTTTGTTGAGCCCCGTGGGGCTCCCTGGTGGGCTATGATGTCATTTCCAGTGGATGAACGCCCAGAGGGCCCCACTGCGGGACTTTCGGGGCCGGTGTCATCATTCTTCAGTAGCGTATACGGGGAAAACATGGCTATCTCGATATCCCGTGTTTCTTTGCAGTCGGAGGAGGTTGTGTGTGACACTTTGTTTACACAAGGGCTCCCAATGACAGAGGTGTAGTGGTGGAGGGGGCCTCAGATTCAGGCCAAAAAAGGGCCGTGCCTGGCCATCTGCAGAGCATTAGTCTCTTCTAGTCCTCTCAACACTGGAACCCTCTTTGGTCACCCAAATGTGATGTCTGGGTCAAGAAAAAAACCGGCACAGTCAGCCCCGTCCAGTCAAAATAACGCTTCTTTTACTCGCTGTTGGTCTGTATCGCCGCAGGGTTGTCTACAGAGTCCTGTTGATCGCAGGATAACAGAAGAGGTGCTATAAGCAACTACACGGCCATACGGCTGCTGAAAATGCAGGGCTGAAGTAAATATGGAATACGTATGTGGTTTACAAATCACACTTGGCTGAGAATGTGATGATTAACGTAATGTCAGCAGTAACATCAATAACATGCAGCATCTTAACTCCATTTCTGCATCAACTTTGTAGTGTATTATATAATTAGATATAATTGAACACATAAAAAAACAGAATCACAACGTATTATGCAAATAAATGCAAAAAAGAGAACCAATCGCATTCGCAAATCACATCGATGACTAATGGTGAATGCCACATTTTGTAGCAAAGTCAGTGAATAAATTGTAGAATAAATAAATAAATAAATAAATGATCAAACAGATAGATAGATAGATAATCTTGTATTAAAAAAAAAGTAGCTCATTAAACAAAACTAAACTAAAAAAAGAGAAATGATCCAGAGTTTTAAGTATGTAAAGTAAGCAGTTTCAGATTAATTTATTGCAGAAAATGATCTCTATTTTTAAAAATACTTTAATATATATAATGTTATAAACTAATTATATAAATTTTTCACTTAATATATTGTAAGTAAAATATGTTTAATAATATTACCGTATATATTAAACAAAGTAATATATAATACTATAAACTAATTATTTCAATATGTATTTTTCAATTATTTAAAATATACCTAGTTATATAGTTTAATA